CTTTAACTTAAAACTAACCTGGGTGCAATTTTCCAGCTGCTTTTTTGGCATTGTTGTATACAAGTTCCCCATTTTTTTCCATGTACATTATAAGCTAGAAATAACAAAATGCGTATACAAGAAATTAGTACAATATAAAAATACAATTCATTATTCTGAATTGAAATTTTATTACATACATGTTTTGATTAAGGTTTACGTGCTGCATACACTCCATCTGAGTTTCAAGACCCTGTAGATGCAGGTTCTCACCCCCTCCATGATATTTGCATCATCTAAGATGTCATTGGAGTACAAGTTTTGTGGATTAAGAAAGAACTATAGACATGGTTTGTTATATTATTAATTATGGTAAATTTACTCGGAGTTGATAAAGAATAATGAATTGTGACGATGAATCATAAATTACCTGCCTCGTGGATATCTCGATGAAGTTGGTCTCTCCACCTATGATCAATGATCTACAATATCTCTTTAGTCTATATGTTATTATGAAATATAGCTTCACTTGCACGTCTCATTGCATTGAACAGAAACCCCATTGCGGGTTTATCATCAAAGTCAACTAACCTCAACACCCGCACTAGAGGTTCAGTTACAGAAATAACATTGTTCCATCGAGCCCAGAACCTCTGATCGACAATGATGGTTTCAACCTGCCTTCCATGTTGACTCGTTGCTGCCCTATCAATCTGCTACTCGTTAGAGTGTATCATTGGCGTATTATTTACCTCAATCTTGCCTCGTTGCCCAACATTGATTATATAGTATAAGAAATGTTGTGGCGAACCTAGTAGTGGACTGCCTGACAATCGCATGCAATGCTCCCTCATTAAAGCATGGAGGTATGTATGATTGTATATGAATCTTGTAAACAGCTTGCACTTCAAAATACAAGTTTTAACTCTCTTCAGCTTTCCTATTTCCTTAAAGCATCAAATTGATACAATGACAGTACAGGGAGTCCAATAAAAATTGGGTTTTCTTTCCATTAGCAACAAACCTGCATTTCTATAGTTTGCAGCATTGTTAGTCATAATTGGACCACATTTTCAGACCCAACCTCATCTACAATCTTGTCCAAGTGTGTGCATATCAATCTTCCAGTATGTTTTTTTCTTAATACGTCAATGCTCGAGTGATAAACAATGCCCCTAAGGCAACTTATTAAAAAATTGAAAATATACTTGTGAGACTTGTCCTTCCAACAGTCTGTTATGATGGTCACTTCTGTACCTGGCCAATAGATCTTGAACTGCTCAATATGCTTATCGACATTCTGAACAGCAACTTCTAAACATAGCCCTGCAAGCTCCTTCGCAGTTGGGCCTCTAACACCTGGCTCTGCCTCAGCTACAGAATATAGCATTTGTGGGTAGAAGTCCGAGCTCGTAGAATTAAATGGCAACGTATTAGCATACCATAACATGCTAATCATCTTTTCTGCATTTTCTATTAATATACCTGCTAATGGAAAAAAAAAAAATTTATGATATTGTGGCTTGTGGGGATCAAGTCCAGAGTGTTCGCGGGTCGTTGGTGGCACATCTATCGGTTCATGTCGGTGCATAGTAGGTGGCCGACTATAGGAGGATGGGCGACTATAGAAACCACGACTCAATCTACTAGATGTAGAACTAAACAATGAATGCTTGCATCCTCCCCTACCCAATACTACAAGTTGTTCAGACTGACGGCTGGTGGATGCATCATCCCTTCTCTTATACATCTCTTGAATTTCCATTTGTCTATAATTCAACTCTTGGAGGATGGCAGTCCTAACTCGTTCCATTTGTGCATCAAACTCCGCTTCTTGGTCACCATCCTCATCTATTGAACTTTTGTACCCCTCCCTACCTCTTCCGCGTCCCTTTCTCTTTAAACATTTTTTCCTTTTCCATCAGTAATTATTTTTAACATTTGTTGTTTTATTGTTGGTGGCACTTATTTACAACCGGTGACATTATCATTTAGTCAAGCAAGGTGTTCTTTTAGGCGATAAACAACACCACCTATTTCCTAGTTACAAAAATTACATCGAACTCTTCCCTTATCATTCACTTTTATACCATACTGTCACGTCACATTTTCCCTCCTCATCTATTATTTTCTTGTAAATTTTCCTGAACATAAAAGTTCATTAAAAATTTATTTATTTGGGACATTTTTGCCTCAATATTTTACCCAAGCAAGAGGCTATTTGCATTTTCAATAACCAAAAAACTAAGTAAAGCCTTACAAATTGATCCATCGCTCTTTGCATAATGCAACTCAAGGTAAAAAAAAAATTTCAAGCCTCAAACCCATTGGGGATTTAAACTTTTAGACTATTGATTGCATTTCGACTATCTATCAAATTAAATTTATAAAAGAAAAAAAAAATGATACAGGCATTGATTCCATGAGAATAAGAGATGTGCTCTGAAAACCAGGATGTGCGATTAATTCCATATTTATAACTCAAGTACAATTATAACCAACTGAAATTTTATGAGGAAAATCATGAAGGATTGCACAAGGTAAATACGAAATTACAACCTCACCCAATCTAGATGAGATGTAAAAGCATTAAAAGCTGAATGTAGAGCTGAAGCAAAATGATAGATAACTTGTAACAAAATAAAAAAATAAATTAGAAGAAAATGTCACAAACAAACTAGAAGTTGAGAATATAGACATCAGTAACAGACACCCATGGTCTGCTATCAAATTTTTCATCAAAACAAAAAAATCCACAACAATCCCATAAACCAGCAATACATGAACAATTATAGGATTGAGGAGCAAAAAAATGATGCATGATTATAGGAATGAGGAGTAATGAGACCTTGAATCGATGAAAATTAAGGAGCAAATCAACATCATTATACGAACAAAAAAAAAAGAAGTTAGAGAAAAATAATGAAGCACTACTAATCATCCATGAAAAAGAAAAGCAAAATTGGCCATTGATAAATCATTCCCCTAAATTATCATGACCATGAATCAATAAATAGCCTTCAGTCCTACACCGGCCGGTTTTACTAAAAAACAGCCGGTTCAGGGACTAACAGGCAGGTTTTTGTACCCAATTGTTTTGGAGCTCACTGGCTACTGACTAGACCACCAATACCGGCCCTAACCGGAGTTGCCACTCCACCAGTAGCGATCTAATCGGCCGATTTTGCGAACCCTGGATTTAACTTAAATTTCTTTTGAAGAATGCTAAATACAAATATGGATAATGATAAAGAAAATCAAGTGCATTTCCTATACTCCCATAAATTTCTTTTGAAGAATGCTAAATACAAATATGGATAATGGTAAAGAAAATCAAGTGCATGTGCTATACTCCCACAAGAGTAATTGTACACTTACTCCCTTGGGCAAACAAGCTACTAAGGGGGTTTTTTATTTTTTTTCCAAGGCCAAAAAAATTATTTGGAGGGGTTTTACTTTTTGGGTTCCAAATGAAATCACCAAATAATTATTTTCAAAAGGAAAAAAAATAAAAGAACTTAAATCCTCCATTAAATGTTAAATGCTATTGGGACTTTCTTTCCAGGCACATATGGGGCGTCTTTCAATTCCTTTTTTGCCTACATTGAAAATGATAAATTCCAAAATTTATGGCCTTCAAAATACCATTCGATTAGACAGGAAGCTCACACAAGACCACAAAATCTTTTAGCAAGAAAGTTTACAAGGAAAGCAATTACTACAAATAACTCCAAATGTAACAACACACCATGGTTGCATATGTATAATCTTATGATAATAATATGTTAAACTGGTCCTATCTCTTCTATTTAGAAACAAGAAAAACTGATGGCGATTAAAGTATAATCTTATGATAATAAAATGTTAAACTCGTCCTATCTCTTCTATTTAGAAAGAAGAAAAACTGATGGCGATTAAATTCCTATAAATCATAAACTGAACGCACAGTTTTTTAGCTTCCAGCAAACAAGATACAAAGAGTTGCACAGAGAAATCCCTTCTTATACGAGTGGACAATCTTATGTTTTTGTTTACTTTGAGAGAAAGATTAAGGTTTGCAGTGAGAGGCCATGATACAATCGAGCGTAGAATGCCCAAGCTCAAGACAAGGCTATCTGTACCATTTATCTAGAGGAAGGGCCCCTAGAACCTTTACCGATGCTGTAAACCAGGTGCCATTCTTTCTTGAGATTACTAGAGATCACCAAGAGATGGTAAAGACGATGACAAGAACAAAAGGACTAATTCAATCAAATGTAGTAGCTAAGATGAAAGTCTGAAACAGTATTGGATGCACCTCCGAGTAGGACTTTCAAATTGAATTTTGATTCAGAGCTCGTTGGGAAACTTGGAACAAGCTTGATTTGTGGGCTAATTTGAGAATACTTTTAATCATATTCTCAAGACCTGGAGAGACGACAGCTAATGAGCATGAATGAGGGCCATTTTGTAAGGATTGAGAATTTTCTGAGATTTTCATCAAGAGGTGATGATCGTGGAAGGGTACCCCTAGATGCCTTTAAATGGTGGAGCAGAGGAGCACTCACTCTCCACGAGATAAAAGATGAAATCCATGTTAAGGAAGAAAATCACCTTTACTCGTGTTTATAGAGAATTTGACTAAAAAAATACTGCCAAGAAAACTGCCTTAGTTGTACACTGATTTCGATTTGATAAAGTAATGCATTAATTTTCAAAAGAGAGGGAGAGAGGCCAAGCAAAAACACACACAGCCAGCAACCTCAGCTTGTTTGAAGGTTTCTTCACAAGGACAACACCCAAAATGAAGAAAGAGATGGACACAGTCATCAAATAATTTTTTTTTTTTTTGAAAATCAAGATCATTCTACGTTTCTCACACAGACAAAAGAATAAACTACTTAGTCCCAAAAAAGAAAGAAGGGTCCAGACTACAAATACATAATGGAAAGGGTTAGTTACAGTTGCAATAGCATCAATAATTTCGAATACCAAAACTGTGTAATGTATTTTATTGGCGAAGTATGTATTCCAGGCCGGTATCCAGTTAGAAGCGAGCACTCTCCAGTGGAAAGTGGTTGCCTTTAAAATTTTAACTAGCATGAAGAAGAACTTAACAGTCTGTTCCTATATATAAGGCACGACTATGAAAAGTTATGTTTCACAAGTAACATACCAAGTAAAAAAATCCACGAGACAAAAAGCCTGAGGCACGACTATGAAAAGTTATGTTTCACAAGAAACATACCAAGTAAAAAAATCCACGAGACAAAAAGCCTGAGAGAAGAGATAGCAGAATCCAGAGATGGCATGAAAATTAAGCTCAGTAACCATCTCCCCCATCATTACCACGATAACCACCACCACCAAAGCCACCCCGAAATCCCACACTTGGTCTGTCATTAGCATAGCTCACCCGAATGCTACGTCCCTGCAGCTCCTGTAAATCACCACAAGTCTTTCATAAAAAGCAAGAAAATATGGACACCAACATGAGAGAGCGAGCAGATTCACACCCAAACAGGTGGATACTCTGAGAGAGAGTGAGTAGATTCACACCAAGACAAGAAACAAACAGAGAGAGAGAGAGCAAATTTACCAACATGAGAGGTGCGAGAGGGAGAGAAAACAAAAGAGGTTAGAGAGAGAGCACCCAGGGCCTGCACCCCACCCAGGGCCTGCACTGGGGCAACAGTATTTTTGGGTCATATATGGTATTTTTGGCGACGGTATTTTTGGGTCATATACGGTATTTTTGGGGGTCATATTTTTTTTAAAATTGTGGATTTTAAGTTCATTTGAAACCTAAAAAGAGAGAGAACCCAAAAAAAAATATTTCTACTAGGCCACCCCAACCGCCTAGAAACCGCCAAGTTCAGGGTGCCCGCCTAGGCACTGGGCGGCCTGGACCCCCCCGACCGCCTAAGAACCACCTAGCATTTTTTTGAAACGCTGATGCACACATAGGACCAACATGAGAGAGAGAGAGAAAAAGGGGACATGCATACACAGCGGAGAGAGAGGGAGGGAGAGGGCAGGTGGACACCAAAACGGGGGGCAGGGCAGGGGGAGGGGGAGCATACCTGACCATCCATGCTGGATAAAGCAGTGCTAGCAGCTTCATCATTATCAAAGTTCACAAACCCAAAGCCTCGGGACCTCCCAGTGTCTCTGTCTGTGATAACCCTCGCTGCATCGCAACCACCAGTGAAATGAAATTAGTGACCTCGTCAATAAAAGCACGGAACTAAGAGTTCAGTCATTTAGCATAATGAGACTAAAAACTCGTTTAATATATGGAACGAGTCCTGTGAGACCACTAAGAGTTCAGCTGCATCGCAAATGTATATATATGGAGAGCATGAGAAGATCCCTTAAAACTCACCTTCAACAACATCACCAAAACTGGCAAAGGCATCTCTCAGTGATTGGTCATCAGTTCCAAAGGAAAGCCCTTCAACAGAAAACATTAAAAGATTCACAACACTTTAGATTACCATATGGTATAAAATAATTTAGCATAATACCGTTCAACAAGAGATTACCAAACTCAATAAAACTTAAACTTGCTTTACAATCAATACATGTAGACTTGAGCCTTCATACAATTTTTACCTCCGACAAATAACTTTGTAGACATGAAGCGGACAGCATTTAGCATGGATATTGATTCCACTCGGCCATTGGAGAGTGCAGAGTTGGTCAGGTTCTGCCTGACAAGGTTTCCAATTCTATTGTAGAATGCCATCTCAGGGTCTGATATAGATTTTTTTTCTCTCTTCTCCTGTTCCACCTCTGAAAAACTCAAAAAAAAAATAAGATATGAATTGCCACATTTTGTTGTGTGCCTAGTCTAAATTCATCAAATCAAGCACTGCAATCCTGTAAAGGAAACAAGAAAACATTGACCAACACTACAAAGAATATAGTGGATAAAAAGCCTCCTATCAACAAGAAAATGCATACACCACCTGGCCAATAGAATTCAGTAAATCTTGTTATCTTATACTTAAAAAATCTATGTACATTCATTAAGATGGAGTAGAAATATAAGAGAAATCCACTATAATCCAATTGCCTTTGGAAACCATAGAAATTTAGGTGTTATTGCTGTCAAATGAAATGACAGATTCTGATGAAAAGAGAGTGGGATCCACCATTGGGGTGAGGCACCGCAAACCTGCTTTGCAGTGCCTCACCCTCTGTCACTGTTAACCATTTCGTTGAACAGTGATGAATAAAAAACCATGGTTTTCCCCAGCCCTCTTGATTATACTGTACCTTACGACAAAATTTGATGCAAGATAACTAAAAGGTCCTAGAGATCTAAACAAGTGCAGATAACTAAAAGGGTCCTTTCTATAGCACATTGCAATAAGTCAGCCACAAAAGTGCATCAGGAAGATCAGGAGGTCCAGTAATTAAAAGGTTATTTGATACCCGGCCAAGGTCAAACCAAACCCAGAAGTTGATTATATCTCAGCGAAGTGTTTATTTACTAAATAAAAAAAAATTCATCTCAGTACATGAAGAATTCAAATGACTAAACAATGTGTTTTCTTCAGATGACCAAAAGTGATTTGGATGAGCATGAAAGGCAAGATTAAAATAAGCATTGTATGTCAGACAGATCATGCATGTACATGACCCAACACATTTAGGTGAGAGTAACAAAAATTAAAATACATAAAGAAGAGACCTCCGATAATGTACATATTCTTCTACATATAATTACCACAAACTCATCCACTAGAAAGAATAAGATTGGTACTAATGTGTTCCAACAATGAATAAATCATAGTCTACATATTGACAGGTTATGTTTTGTCGCCAGTGAAAAAGTATCTTAAACAAAAGTTTGCAAGAACTATCAAAAAGACAAATCAGTGATCGCTAACTTCTTTGTGCACAAATAAATTTATAATGCACATCAAAATGCTTTAGTGTTTTACATATATACACTTGAATGATACCCTTATCGTCTCTCAAACCAATCCTCAAGATGAAATGGTAAAGTTGAATAATAAGTATTTCAAAGTGCACCAAATGATGTAAAGAACAAGTTGAACTGCAAACAATGACAAATCATAACCTTAAAGAACAAATGCATATGCAAATACAAAAGATTCAATGCCTAACGTCGCTAGAGCTCCTCTGTAATATATTTCATTCGTGAATGAATGACCATACAAGATGATTTAATCTACAACAACGGCTATCTAAATTCAATCCAGGTATATAGTAAGTATGCATCAACTTCATCTTTGCTACATGATCAAAGGACTCCAAGTGATCAAATGCCTAGTATAAAGGATCTTGTTCCATATCCTATGGAATCCCTCTAAGAGTTAAATTCTTGTGGAGCACCTACCAAAACAAAATAAATGAAAGGCTCGATCCCAGCTGGCTGGTGGAGGAACCATTGAAACACTGAGTCAAGTTGGGTCCCAACAAACTAAAGTGACTTTGACTTGGCTGGAATTTTGGTAAAAACTAATGTTCAGGTAAGGAGATAGGAATTTAGGAACTTGTGCTGTGAATGGAACTTGTCAAGAACGATGAGTGAGTGTCTGTGTCAAAAATTAAATAAATAAATAAATAACAAATTTTATCATATCTCTCTGTTTTCTTAGTAGCTTAGTACAGAAAAAACCCTAGGGAGATGACAATCTAACTTTGGCATGTTGTGGAAACAAAAGGAGGCTAAATAAACAATCAGGAGATTCCTTATGAGAGTTCAAATAGGATAATTCCAATCACTTATAGGTGAACTTAAGATGTTTGATTTACCACTAAAGGGATTAACTACAATGATGGTCTAAGAAGGGTGAGGACCTTTTCAACTTTCCCTTAACCCGTCCCTAGCCTGGGTAAAAGGGGTGGGTTGTGTCTGATAGGCAACTAACGTAAAACTTTGCCAAAACTTCTCATGAATCCGGATTAACTCCAATGAGACTGTTACATTAGGTACAAAAAGATAACAAAACATCGCCAAAACTTCTCATGAATCCGGATGAACTCCAATGAGACTGCTACATTAGGTACAAAAAGGTAATAAAACATCCTGTGCTGTCATGTGAAATCTGATGGGCTGGTGGACACACAAAGTCCAAGGAAAAATTATCATCACAGCCTTTAAGGGTGGTCAATGATTGATCCTCGCCGTCAGATTTCAAATCTATGGCTTATGATATTTGTTACCTTTTTGTACCAAAGGTAATATATTCATTGAATATTTTGGCACTACATAAACCATTGTTCAATTGGTGACAGCCAAAATGCGGTCATGGCATTCATAATTTTAAATAAAAGCATATGGTTTGTCCAAAATGAAGATGCATAGCTTTAAAATAACTTATTTCCTGGGAAGGATATTGTGCACACATAATTACTAGTGCTGATCCCAGAGCCTTAACATGGTGATGAAACTCATAATAAAAGTGCTCTCTCCCAACGCCTAACAAGATATTCTAATTTCCAACAATGACATGTAGGAGCGAAATGCATTAAAATGTGCAGAAACTGTCACAACACAGGAAACCACCTATAAACTGCATATGGTAATCATAACAAAAAAAAACTAAAAAAATTATCATAATGCAAGGTAAAATAAATAAGAAACTTTATCAAAACAGAAATGGCTGTGTGCTAAGTGTTTCCCTGACTTGCCAACTTGTGGAATTCAAAGCGCAGGTAGATTGGCCAAAGGCTTGGAGATAAGCTCACTCCCTTGAGATCAGTTATCAAAATCAACAATTAGAGAAACTTAGCTATACATTCCCAGCATAGCCATATGCCTAGAAATAAGATAAATAACAATAAATTGAATGAAAAATCATGACTGTTTTCCTTATAGAGATCAGCTTATTTTGAAAATCATCAAAGATATGCATAAGAATTATACAAAGAGGAAAACCCTAAAAGTCCAAAAGTAAGCAAAGCCTTCAAAATAAAACAACTGTAGAAAGATAAAAAAATTAAAAAAATGAACAAGTGTTCAAGAAAAAGGTGTGAACTCAGAAGAGAGACCAAAGAAGTCAAGATATATTTACATGAATGCAACAACCATGCAAGATTCTCCCAAGCAAACCCAAACCAGAAGCATCCAGCTTTAAAACTCCATATAAAACAGATTAAATGTATAAAGGCGCACAATCAATCAACAAAAACAACTTCCATAAGAAAGAAAATGCAAGAACAAAGCAACTCAAGCTATCTCTCCACAAAAGATAATTCCCCTCCAATCACCAAATGATATTGTTAAGCTTTAGTGTCGATGGAAGAGAGAGAGAGCACAACAATCTCAGCAAATGCATCTCATTCAATAATCAGCTAAAAACTACTAAAAAATGAAAAATATAGAGAAGAGAGAGAAAGAGAATGATGGCACAACGGCGATATCGACACTCTCGGCAAACAAATGTCGTTTACTTATCAGACAAACACATCTCATACACAGTTAGAGAGAGAAACACAGTTTGAGAGAGAAACAGAGAAAAATGCCCAGAGAAAAACACAGTTTCAGAGAGAAACAGAGAGAGAGTGGGAGAGGCGCAAACCTACAGAAGGAGCAGGCCCACAGAAAGGTCGGAGTTAGGGTTTAGCAGAGATTGGGATATATAAAGGGTTTCAAACTGTGGAGTGAACCCGACCGCCCAAGATATTTTTGCGCCGTTGATCAAACTCAGCATTTTATGCGTATGGCATGACCACAGAAATCTGTCATCACGACGTTCATCACCGCCCAATACTAAGGTTGGACGGTGATGGGTGACAACCATGAAAATCACATAGGGCGTGTTTGCCGATTGAAACTTGCGTTGCTAGATAACTAAAGTTCCTGCCCGAAAGCCAACTAAGTTTGGAGCGGGAAATCCCTGTCAGCTAAAAATGTAAAGTGTTGTCCTCCACCCCACCCCATAAAGAGCGGCACTTTACATGTTGGTCGGGCTTGGATTTACCGTCGTTCGGGCTCCCTCGGGGACCGGGGCTCGAACGACCGCTCGACCCGCGTATGCATGTATGTTCGTGTGCTGCGTGCAGATAGGTTTCCAACAATAAGAGGATTTTAAAGTGGTAATGAGGTGGACTCAAACACCTATCTCACCATTTGAGTTCATGGGATACATCCGGGCCTTAGCCCTCTTAGAACATTTCAAAAGCCCACCAGCTATCTAGCTACACAATTTGAATTCAGCTACCTCAAAAATCAATATCTCACTTAGAATCTTACCAAAAAATGGCTTTTTAAAGTTCACTTATGATAACCTCCTCCTAGTAAATATGTGGGATAGGGATTCTAGTTTTGAGAGTGAGAGTGATAGAGAAAAAGAAAATATAGAAGAATACAGAGGAAAAAGATAAGAATGGGGATGAATTGGTGGGGGTTTAGTTTACAAAGACGAAGAATAATAAGGAGGTGAGATAGAAGAAGAGAGAATGACCCAAGAATTGGGCAACCTCTCGGCGTAACCTCCCCCAAGAGATATTACTGGAGACAAGGAAAAGGTATTAGGCTCAAAGCCCTAATATCTAGAGGGTTCGGGAAGTGGAGTCGCGAGACTTAGCTCGTGATTATGTCACTAACCCATAGAGCTTCCTTAAAGTAATTCAGAGCGAGATAAGAGAAGAGAAAATGAAAGAGATAGAAATCCCTCTCACAACCCAAACACTCTCACAGGCCAATCACCATGCAAACTGGTGGTTAGAGCAGTCCTAGAGTTTAAAATCTCTTTAAGGGAGTTGTCTCAGGAAGACCTCAACTCAAATGATTGAGTGCAAGAAAATAGGGAGTGAATAAAGAGAATAAAGAATATCAAGGAGTAATGAGATGAGAGAGAGAGAGAGGAAGGGAGAGGGCTCGGACCTGTTGTGGGTCTGGGTAAGAGAGGTAGGAGAGAGAAAGAGAGGGAGAGTGCTCGAACCTGCCCTTGGGTCCGAGTAGGAGAGAGGGAAGAGGAGAAGTGGACCTAGGCGGCTCGAGTTTAGTGCGCCTTCAACGGTCTATTTGAGCGCTTCTTAAAGAGAGGGGGCTTTGTCTTTAGGGCTAGGGTTAGGGTCTAGGCTATAATTGGGTGACCTAGGTGGGCTTGAGTGGTGTAGGGTGTATGGTATGCTAAGGAGTATAGTATGCTAGGGTGTATGGCAGGCTAGGGTGTATAGTATGGAGTAGGGTATGGGAGTAGGGAGCTAAAGGTTATAGGAAATCAAAAGTTTGGAGTTCTAGGAAGTGAGGGATACCAAGGGTAGTTTCTCTCTATAACAATTATTTATCTCTCCTCCCTTTTTGAGTTAAGAAATGGATTTGAAGCAAGAGAAGAAGCTCAACATCTCTCTGAATTCTATTATAGTCCAAAATTCTCAAGAGGCCTCTATTACAAATGACTTAACACATTTAATGGAATAAAATAAAAATCCCATTTTTTAAAATAATAACCAAATTGTCCCTAAGCACTTTTCATGAAATGACAAAATCATCCCTCTTTGAGCGGCCTTTTGCCATTGCTAAGCCTCAAGAGCTTTTTCGGAGACTTCTGATGATAATTCGGGTGATCAAACATTATAGAATTGTTGCTTGCATTATTATGCACGTTTTGATACCCATTGATAGTCTTGAAACATAGTTTTAAGGAAAAACTCAAAAATCTATCCAAGTCCATAAACTTTTGATTCTTGGACCACCAATGTATCACGATCCGTGATGTTTTGAATATTCTTTTTTATCACAAATTGAAGAGAACTCTGTCGTGATCATTTGTGATAAAATTCGTCTGTTTTGGTTTTCGTTTGAGTGCATTTCAAATTTGGGAGGTCGTTGAAAAATGGGATTCTAGCGACCGAAAACTATACCTTATTTAACCTCAAAATCCAATGTTGTTTGTCCTCCGATCACACTAAAAAATTATATCAAATTGAAGTTCTTCGAAGCACGGTTGCAATGGACTCATACTTGCTACTATCCGACATCGGGATCTCAAGATATTGCCCCTTGAATATGGAGATGTTTCACTTTTCAAATCTGAAATTTCAAGTTTTGAGGTCATCTTCTCTATAAGAATTCTCTCGTTTCGGGTCATGTCATGATGCATGCCATATGTTAAAAACGAGCGTATTGACGCGATCTAACTCGTATCCGAATTTTAAGAGTAATTCGAGTCGAAATGAGAAAGTGATGAGCACTTAAAATTCATCTTGAAATGAGAAAACAAAGTTTCCACAAATGGAAACTGGTTCACCGAGGTTGCACCGCAATAGTGTAAACCCACCATTCTTTGGTAAGTTAAGCCTAGAATGGTCTCGAAAGGTCCAATTGAGCCAAAATTTGGTATTTTAAGGTTTTTCGACATTCTGGATCTAACAACGGTGGTCTGATATTTATCTGAGACCCCGAAAATGGGGCTGCAGTTATATGATCCATTTTCAGCATGATGGAACTGAATTTGAAAACTGAGTTTCGTCTAGATTGGATCAAAACTTATTGGAATGCGACGAAAATTTACGAGTATCCTTAGGGAATCCAAAACTACGCTCTCATGCATTTTGAGGCTGATTTGACACTTCTTTTTAGATTAGCGGCGTTTTTGGTGCTGACGGGACCAGCTTGCAACTAGATCTCTCTTTATACGTCCCGGGGATACAAGTACGCAAAAAATGACGTATAATATACGTGAAACATAGCTTTTATTTTTCATTTTAACTCGTTTTGTTTTGCCATTAAACCACCACTGTAACAGGCTCTCTCCTCCTCCCACTGGGAGGGTGAGAGTTTGAGAGAGAGAGAGAGAGAGAGATGAGCTCACTAGGTATGAAAAGACTGATGGAACCACCCATCCCACTAGGAATTGTATAGTCACCATTGAGATTGAAAAAACATTTACAAGTTAGCCTAGGTTTAAATAGCTTTGCGGAGAAAGGCGAGCTACAACAAGGTGCATGAGCTCTTCTTGTAACATGCTCTTGAGGGCTTCCCCATTTCAAGCCAAATTTTGGCTAGTCTATAGCTGAAATTTCTTTGTTTTTCACTAGAAGTTGAGGATTGGTAGCTTGGTTTTGTGTTTTTTGGGTTAAGATCTCTAGAGTTTTGGCCTGAAATTGGAGGTTAGTAGCTAATTTTATTGTTGCGTGAAGACTTTTTAAGGCTTTTTCGTGAAATTAAATGTCAGTACCTGGTTTTTGTATGTTGGGAGAAATTTTTAGGGTTTTGGCCTGAAACTAAAACATGCAATTCTTTTCTCTCTCTCTCCCATATTTAAATTAGGCTCCTTTATTTTCTTTCCCCTCCATGCAAAACATTTGCAAAAGTAACAAGGTTGAACCTATGACATTGTTTTATTCTGTTTATTTCTTTATTAATTTTTCTTTTTGAAAGAGATCATATCTTCGAGAGCTTGGGTGTTTGTGATCAATTGGCTTATGCTTGTGCTCATTTGTGTTGGAAAACGAATCTTTCAGTACCTTCAAGTACCTTTGCTATTGCACAGTGCATACCTTGTTAAATCCCAAGTCCTAGAGAATGTTTCAATTCTTAAATTTAATAATCGAAGATAAGTATTTTTCTTTTGATTTTTGGGTGTAAAAATCTATAAGCGTGATTTTTTTAAAAGACAGCTTGCACTTTCAATATTTTTGAGAAAAAGTTTAAATAATAGAAAGGAGCTTGGATCTTATCGGTACATCTGGGTTTCACAACGGTTTACTCCTTACTTTTTTCATTTTTTATTCTTTTTTATTGTTATTTATTTATGTATTTATTTATTTTGAGTGTATAAGGGTGCTTTGAATGTGGCAATGAATGAATTGAGTGATGACTATTTTTACAAAGGTTGGAATGTTGATTGGTGGTCTTTGGCTCAAGTGGCGGCTGCTATGTCAAATATGGGCTTGTTTGAGGCAAAGATGAGTAGTGATGCCTTTCAGCTGTTGGACATGAGTGAGAAATGCTACCAAATATTATTTTCTAGTACAAAGAGTTAGATCAACCTGCTTTCTAGGGAGAAGGTGCTTCCGAGTTCTAGACTAACAACAACTTCTAGTTGGAAAACACGCCCTTAAGGTTGCATGATCATTCACTTTCCATCACCGTACAACTCATTGATTGACTCATGAACGTCTTGGCCAAAGACTTACTCTAGCCATGAAGTTAGCGGTATACCCCTCTCTAATGGTGCATTTTTTTTAGGTAGATCGGTGGGGAATACTGGCCCCTACTCATTTTTAAAAATAATTAACAGTTTTCGAATGCATCAGTGGGAATGGAAACCTTGACTGGTAGCTAAGGTTCAAGTGGTGCCACCACCACGACCTCAACCGCATTCCGAAAAAAATGGTAAGTCTGTGGGGATTTAGGCCCCTATCCTGTGATGAGAATGGAGTTAGAGACCTCACGATGAGGCTCAGCAATACTACTGCCAAGGCACGTTTGATAAAGGGAAGTTGTGGGGAGGAAGAGAAACTGTCATCTATATTGTACAAGTTATGTTCTTAACACGTGGAAGGTTGATTAAAACATCATATATAATGTACAACTTCCTCATTTTAAGTGAGATTTGCTTCTGTGGAAAACCATGAACGTTTAAAATATAATGTTTACCCAATGATGCTGGGACTTATGCCTGATAAAAAAGACCTTCAATGCCCTAAACCCTTTGCTTGCCTTCTCTCCACCCTCTGCACCTCTCTTCTTACTAAACCTCTGCCTCCTTTCAACTGCCTATATATATATATCTCTCTCTCTAACAAATAATCCCTTTTCGTATTCAAGGAGAATGATTTTTTGGTTGCTTGAAGCAAGGGGTTGAGTGAGACCTTAGGAACTGTCAATTGTCTAGTGGCCCTTTCCAACACTTAAAGTGTGATTTGATTAATGCTTAAATATGAGCTTGCTTGTTCACTAGGAAAGTGCAAAAGAGCTGCAATTTTAATCAGTTTTTTAGTTTTTAAATACGGTGAAGTTTGTGTCAAAATAGTTTGTGCATGAACAAGAATATATGAACACTTATTTAATAAGAATGACATAATATGTTTTTATTCTCTCTTAGCAGTGATTTTTCTTCTCGATCTCATGTGAGTTAATTTATCTATGCAATGAACGTACTAGTAAATATAAATATACATGACTGGATCTTGGATTGTTTTTCTTTCTTTTCTTTTTTGTAATTTCACTCAAATTTTCATCTTTTGAGTATTCAAGTTTGTATCAATCATTAACTGATTTAGGATTGTTTTATTTTGTTATTAATCAATCCTTAGCTTATTTAATCAAGTTTCAAAGGTTTTGAGAAAGCCTAAGATGATGTATGTTATATTGTGAGGAGTTGGATGAATTGTATAAAATATATTGGAGGATTGCCTTGTGATTTTAGAGGACTTTGGGTACATATATATGTGTGAGTGCGAATATGTATGTATGAGGCCATACAAACATAACATACATGATGAAGGGATGGAGCCCTAGTCATCACCACATAATACTAATAAATCGGTTGTTTTCCTCTAAAGGGATGGACCCCCACTCATCGTCTACAAGTACAATTGCTTTGAACATGGCAAGCAAGGGCGATGGTAAAAGAAGTCTCCAATGGATCCCATATGAGGAGAACTTCTTTGTCGATCTTATGGCCAACGAGAATAAGACCTGAGGGGTTTAAGAAGGGTGCATGCCCACAGATGCCTAAAGCCATGAGAGCCAAGTCATACATATTAACATTGAAATGAGGCTAAAATGCAAGTATAAATTCTTTAGGACCATGTTTGGTGAGATTAAAAGGCTTATGGCTGTATCCGGTTTCAAATGGGATGAGTCAAGGAAGTTGGTTAGTGCTGAGGCTGTTGTATGGGATGATTATCTATCGGTATGTAATTACTCAATCGATACATGGGCCATCCAAGTCAAATATCACTCGTCTAACATATATGTACTAGATGCAGGAGAATGAATGAGCAAAGAGAAATTAGAACTAGAGCTTGCCTGACTTTACGCAATCAGATAAGATATTCGCAAGTGGAATGGCATATGGCACCATATATCAAGTGGGGGTGACCTCAAAAGTGACACACAAGGGGTCAACACTTTGTCCACTGATGTCCCTCCCATGGAAGTCTAAGATGTATCCAACTAGTCCTCTTCTGATGGAACATTGACATCTGGGACAAAGAGGCGACGCTCCCAGACTCCGACAACTCAACATCACATAACAAAGCAACCCACCCCCACTGAGGCGATGGTTGTCGCTTTGACAAAGATGGTCGAAGGCATGAAGGTGTTAGTGAGTGGCATCACACCCAGCAGCAATACTCCTGTTGTGGAAGCTGCTTTCAAGGTTAGGAAGGATTGCATTCAGCTTGTTGAAGCTATGTAGAGAGAAGGAGAATTTGGTAATGCAGTGCTCTTAAAGGCAACTAGGATACTTACAGGATGTTGCAAAGGTAGAGATGTTATTAAACCTGATGAAGCGAAGGCATCAAAAGGCTTTCTTGGATATTGATATGTGGTGCCTCCAGTGGATCTTGGATTATTTTTGTATTACTTTATAAAACTGTTGTTTGTATGGCCAGTGATTTTGTATTTTGGTATTATTGAGTTTCTTGTGATTTTCTTTTACGGTATGGATATTTCTCTAAGATACTATACGAATGACGTTTCTTTGCTTTTATGGTTTTATTATGGTTATTGTCTTTGATGGAAAAGGTACTATATCGATGATGTTTTTTTGCTTTATGGATGATGTCTTCCATGGAATGGATGATGTCTTCCGTGGAATGGATGATGCATTCGATAGTATAGTTTTGTTATGGTTGATGCTCATGGTTGTATGGTTTTATTATGTCAATGCCGTTGATGGAATGGTACTATATGGATGATGTTTTTTTTATTATGGATGATGACTATTAACCTTTTTTATCTATAGCTATGGATCCCCAATGTCGTCGATTGTTGGTAATAATTAATGCTGCATATGAAATGTGTTGTGTAGCATATTGGTCTATCACTACCTAAAAAGAAGGGAACGTGCTAATACTTCAATTATGACGGGGACTAAGTATGTTGAATACTTGCTAATAGAGCACCCTCGCAAGTGCATTGACAAGTTATGAATGGCAAAGACCGCAATCATCGATCTATGTAATTTACTATAGGAGAGGGTGCTAATTA